AAACTATTGAAAGTAGATGTTGTGCGTTCCGAATACGTCTCTGCTCGCTACTGTATACTCATTCTTTCCATCTTTGTGGCAGCGCTGCGCAAATGCAGCGTGTGCGCAATTTTAGGCCAACCTTTGGGCCTGGTTCCGCTGAGTCAGGCTGTGGTAGGGGAGAAAGGACATGACTTCATACCAAACTACGGACGTAACCTTACTGAATCAAATTCTTTTCAGATCGATCGTTATGGAGGATGCGGCATGCCTGCGCCTGGATGTGAAGGAGTAGACAAACAAAGTGACAGTTGTGTTGCTCAACTTGTGAGGTAAAATCATTATTCATTGAGCTTTGTTTTTTTTGCTTATCAAAACAGCTCATTTTAGGCCGTACAAATTCTACATATCCATTGAAAATTCTAATTGTGTCGACTACGTTACAGAGAAATTTTTCCAAGCATTGATTAGTCGTATGGCCGTTCCCATAGTACTGAAAAGGGAGATTTACAAGAATATTGGGGTACATTGTTGAACATTCTTTTGAAAAAAACCAAAATCATGATTCTATTATAGGCTCCTGCAGATTCATTTATAGCCTTAGACGACTTTAGAAACATTGAAGACATGGTCGAACACGTTAAGGAAGTTGGAGAGGACAAGCAGCAATACCTCAGATATCATCAGTGGAGGAGCAATTATGAGTAAGAAAACGACAGGCGGTTGTCTGCGTTGAACCGCTCTTCTTACAGAGTCCTGCCAGAACACAACGACGAGACTGGATTTTGTGAGCTGTGCCGTCGGCTTCAGTATGACAAGATACCTTCCAAATCTTATGAAGATGTTAGAAAATGGCATGCTGATGAGCAGTGCGATAACGATTACGCAAAAATATTTTTGTCATCTAGCGAGTGACTTAGCCAGTTTGAGGTAAGAAGAGGTAATCAATGTAGACATCGGAGTATCATGTAAATAGAAGTTCCAAACTGTTATGTTACATTATGTTATATTTATTATGTTTATTATATCTCGGGTCAGTTGCTCTGCAGCACACTTCTCTTGTAATATCATTTCCAAAAATGTTTTAGGCCTTACGAAGTTTATTTGATTATCTTAGACTTGAGATTTCGCTTTAGATTTCAGTTTACAAGAATGAAGTGCGCAACTACTGTGCACTGATGTCTGTTATCTATTAACTTGTATAATAAAGTGTCTTGTTTTCTGGTAGAAGTATCCTAGAGTATCGTTGGCAGACCTTTCGAAAATATGTCAGAAAAATACTGTCTGATAATTTGGTATATAGGCCGCTGCATGACGAAGGCACTTTATCTTTGGGCACGAAATGCGGTTTTACTAGCCGCAGAGCGCACGAGGCGCAGGATTTGCAATGGTGA